TGTAGCGATGGAGAGGGTGGGTGTGTGGGGGGGGGGGGGGGGGGCAGTGTGTCTCCTGGGGGCCGTAAAGACAAAGATAAAAGGAGTAAAGTGCTACGATAAATTATGAAAGGAATTTTTTTTTTTTTTTTAAATTGTAGGAACCGATAAACACTCACTGGAAACATTATACTCACTATTTAGGATTTTTAAATAAACATACAGTAAACAGACAGGCTCTGTCGTGACAAATGGCGTGTGACCCCATACAGTATGTTGAAAAAACAAAACAAAAAGTTTATGACAATTACAAAATGCTTTCTCTAAATATTTTCTCAAATCAAAACACTTCTGCATGAGCTGTTAACATCGTGTATCATTTGGATTCTGGTGTCTGCTGTCTTTGGCCCAAGGTCAATACCTGCTTCTTTGGATCATTTCTTGAGTAAAATCCATTTAATCTTAAATGTTCTCTTAGATTATGGGAAAAGAAAAAAAAAATCTGTTTTCAGTTATTGGATTGAATAAATATGTGATTACAGTTGAGGCTTTAATTTCAAACAGAAGTATTATTTTGGTTATCATCAGATTTCAGGAAGCAGCAGTTTGCACAGGAAACAGTCTGGATCTGTGTCCCGTGCCACAGCCTTAAGCTTCTCTCAAAATTAAGATGAAGCAACTGGAAACACAGACCTTGAAGCGACAAAGTAGTGTTAATGTTGAAAACAATTCCTTTGGCCTTTAACAACTCACATTTGAGCTTTGCTGTGTGTTTTGCCGTTAGAATTATCAATTATTTTAAACTTAAGAAAGAAATAGCATATGCAGAGGTCAAAGATATACAAAACTGGTACATAAAGTTGTAATATGCAAAACATCTCCATGCCATTAGTGAAAGAAGTGATGCCGTAGGTGTTACCCAGTGGGACGGTGCAGTAGAACACTGCCTTTCTCATTCTCATTTTAAACAGATGTTTGAATAAGGTCCATTCCCCTAAACACTAAAAAGTCTATAAAAATGCAGACAGTCGATCACGTAGTGGCAAAGAGAGAGCCATTAGCAAAATAGCATGCATTAGCACAGCATTAAAACGCTTTAATGGGAAATTTGACACAAGAAGAAAACATTTAAACAGTCACACACCTTCTGCAAACGGCACAAGTGTGGCCAAAGTTTAGCTTCATTTGACTAAAACCACCTTAAATGGTTGAAATGGGAGCAGTGATCCACAGCACAGGCGCGGAATTACAAGTGAAATGACAAATGGGCCGGCGAGCCTTCTGCTATGATGCTGTGGTTTCCAGTGCAGTGGGGCAGTATTTTACTTAATTTGTCTCTCTGTAAATGCATGAGTGGATCACCGGCTTCATACAGTGTGATTTATGCCACAATTTACTCACTGGTCCTGGCGTTCATCGTTGCTGGTGTACTCTGGTTGTTTCCTTTTGTGGCGGAGATGCCGATGCCATACTCTGTGCCTGGAAGTAGGTCTGAAATTCACAGAACGATAGGAGAGAAAATCTGTACTTGAGTTTGTCTCCATATTCATAATTTGATTGTTTGGATTATTTGGACCAATAAAAACAGGTGTGAAACACAGGTATCTACCGATCTATCTGATCGCCTTGTTTTATTGAAGCTTTTTTTAAACCACAACCATTAGAACTCCGCTGAAAACGAGACTCTGTCAAAGTCAGATACAGAACATTAGGGCCATTTGTTTCACATGCGGCTGAAAACCTTAGAATAAAGTTGAAATGTTAACAGTGACTTCCTTAAGCTACAGAAAAAGGCACGAGGCACAAGCAATTAGGAGTCAGCACCACTGACACGGGTTGTTAGTGGAGAAAGAGGAGAGGCAGGGAGAGGAAACGAGAGGGGAGAGAACATTAATTGCAATGCCCAGAACAGAATGACACGGGGACCTTTAGCTTTTGTTCTGTTGCTGACTTTGCCCTTTTCCAGTACTGTGACCTTTCAGCAAAAACATCTCAGCTGACCCCTTCCCTGACGGCGTATCGACAGACCCCCAGGACGACAAGTATTTCTACAGATACAATAAGCAACCTGTCAGCCTTGGGTTAGCCTCGGAAAATATTTGAAAACACACACACACACGAGCCAGTCTAATACACAATGATCTCTTTGTTTACATACTGTTTATATGCATTATGTATAAATATGTAAAAAAGGAAGAAAAGTTATTCCATCCTCACTCACCTGTGAGAGCAGTTTTCGTGGTGGCTCCCTCATTTCTCGGAACAATCACTTTATCGTACTGATCTCCAGCCAAGGTGCTGTACACCACGTTGTAGGATTCCACCTACATGCAAACAATCATAGATTTAAAACTCACACTTATATTTCACGAGGAAGATCATTTCATTCTGCATCGTTGACGCTCTACGCTGGGTTTATGCTCCACTAGCTCAGAGTGAGGCTCGGCTCTCTGCTGTCAAAACGGCAGAATCATGAGGCTGAATATATCTGCTGTGTTTAAAAGTCTGCCTGTGATGTGAGAAATATCACTGTAACTCTGGTTTACAGCCGGTTTAAGAGAACCAATACAAGTTTTAAGAATTCGGTCAGGTTTAAATCTGCTTCAAGTCAAGTAAATGTCAAGAATCAGTGATGAATTTGTTTACACTGACGACATTAATACAGATGTACTGACTGTTACACTCTTGGATTTTCGAGGTCGAAGTCTTTGGGTCTGATTTTATGTATAATATTTGCTGCACAAGATTCTGAGACCTATAACTTCAACAAAATCAATGATTCCCTTTCAAACCTGTAGTATATGATCTGATATATGTTGTCTGCCCCCTAGTGGATTAGCATTATAAACAGATAAAATATATTATATAAAGAAAGTATCTCAGAAACAAAACTATTTGTGTCAGGCTTTACAGGGTTAAAAAAGGAAAATAGATGGTGTTTCAGTCAGTCCATCGAAGGCAACATCCAAATAATTACCATGTGCAGTGTCAATATCTGATCAATACCTCTGCCTCACTGTTGTCCCACTCCAGCTCCAGTGTGGTGGAGGTCTTGGACACGAGTCGCAGGTTCTTTGGGGCATCAATTTCTGAGAAGAACGATAAAGCTGACAATGTTGGGGACACTGAGACCAATTCTCAGGGACTGGGAACAAGCAAGCATCAGCAGTTTCAAAAGCATCTAGCACAGATACAGCTGGTGTCAAAGGATCTTGTAGCAGACTCAGATACTTTGAAAGATGAAGCAGATTGGTTTGTACGTATTTGTAATAGCACACAGTGAATCTAGTAACGATTTCTGCCTGTTTTTAATAAATACTTACACGGAATATTCCACACCAGTTTAACCCAAATGTAATGAATCTAATGTAATCTCTACACACATACATACATGGAGCAGAGCATCATCTTGCACAGATGTTGACTGTCATCACACAGAGATTAACAGTATGGAATTAAATTAGGCCATGTGTCAGTGTTTCTGTCCTGAGGCAGGAACTGAATCCCACACACCACTATCATCACATCTGCTTGCTGTCAGACCTCACCGGTGGTAAACTCTGTGGAAATGGATCCGCTCTCGTTTCCTTTCCTCAAACCTTTAACAGAAACCTCGTAACTGGCTCCAGGACGCAGAACCTTTGGTAGGAAAAAAAAAACACAGGGATGGTTTAATCGAATCCATCAATTTGTCCTGATTATTCCCTCTGTTTTTCCCATTCCCCTTCAGGGATATACAAAAAAAAAAAAAAAAGAATAACCACTCACATGTAGACCACCAGGTCTAAACCCACGGATGAATACAGTAGGTTTTTACTACTACTTCATGTATCTGTGCCATCACCACTGTGACCTCGGGTCATTGTGAATTTCACACACACTCAGACACAGACACACTCACTTACCTGGAGTGTGTACTGGCTGAGTGTAGGCTGGAGGCGGAAGGTGGTCCGTGGCCCCTCACCTCCCACAAGGCCATAACGCAGCACAATCTGATCGATCTTTGCCTTTGGCGGCGTCCACTCCACAAATGCCACGGTGTCTGACACGTCCCGTACGATCAGCTGAGTGGGGCCATCAATCACTGTGGGAACGCAAGAGTGTTTCTTTGTTATTGTTATGAACAAAGCAGAGTCACCGAGGTGGAATCTCTCAGTGTTTGACATTTCTTTCTCTGAGGTTAAGTCTTTGTTAAGACTACAGTAAGAAAACACGGTTGAAAAAAAATCAAATTAAATTCAATGTTTAGTAAATAAACATCTATGGTTAAAATTAAAAAAGGAAAAAATAAAAACTGCAGGGACAGTCCTTAAAAGTATTGTGTAACAAAAATGTCATTAAAGTCCAGATTAACATCTAACAACTTAAAGGTTTTTTAAATGAATTAAATCTAAATAAACTCTGTCTTACACAAATTTTAATTAACTGGCAAACTGGACGTGTCAGTTTGATTACCCAGTTTCCACATTTTCCAGTTGGACAAATGAAGTCATTAAACCTTCATTTATTCGAGGCTTGAATTAAGGATGCACCGACCCCAGTGTTCTTATTGGTATCGAACCTGACACTTTTTATTCAAATAATCTTACTCCAAGACGCGCCGATTCAGCAACTCAACTTTTCAATACGACCAGCTGGTCAGCTGGTGTTATAACTGCAGTTCACTGTGTCTCATTGTCCTCATGGTGAGTTTAAGTAGGTCAACAACGTCAGCAGTTTGGAGGGATTTTGTCCCCACAGTAACACTGTGTGTGTGTCTTTGCTTTCATTGATACATGGTTATAGTACTGCAATCCACCTCTGTTAATATTCGGTTGTATACTATGTAGTATTACTAAATACTGTCTAATGTGACGGCCAGGTCAGTTTGAAGACTGTTTTGTTTTTTTCCATATTTTGTGGTGAAATATCCTACTGTTGATGAGAAGAAAAAACTGTCCTCATCATTCCCCACACAGCTCTGCCTGTCCCTATGTAAAGGTGCCTGCCACTGCATTGCACATTTATGTAACCTCACCTAAAGAAGTATCTGCGCAGGTACTCTGTGAAATGCACAAATGAAAATACAGTACTCGTATCTTTTTACTGCCGGATGCTCCGTGGCTGTGCAGCAGCCGAGGATTCGTTATCAGGAAACAACCAGACATGTAAAACCTCATCAGACCTGTCTCCTGCTGAGGCAGTTGGCCTTATCTACGCAATGTGTAAATCCTGGACACTGATTAAA